TCTGGCTTCGACCATCACGTCGTGCGGGTCCCCCACACCCAGGCAGTCGTCCTCAACTCCAAGGACAAGGTACGAGCCGCCGGGGAACGGCTTTGCCTCGCCAGCGGCGGTTTTTTGGTCCTCGGCAGGGCCCCGGTCCGGGCGTCGCGCAAAAGGGGTGCTTTGTGCGCGTGCTCAGGGCACCTCCTGGGTCCCGAGGGTTGCGTTGCCGCTTCCAGGGCTGGGAGCGATGGGGAGAGAGATCTGTGTGGGCAGCTGGGAGGGGGAAACGTACCCCTGCGAGTAACCGTCGCTTGAAACCTGCGCTGTAGGGGTCTCTGGGAGGCCCGGCCCCGCGCGCTGCTCCACACCTACCGAAAAGCGCGGCTTTGCCCCCGGAAGGCGTGTGCCAAAAAGGCAAAGCGTACACCCTGCAAGAGCAGAGAGCGTCGGGCTGCCTCCTGTAGCTGCCTGGCCCCTGCCCCGCTAACGCTTGGTTTTGCTCCCCCCAGGCTCCCTATTTAATCTACGTTGAAGTACTTGAATGTGACAATTTCGACACAGCGAATGTGCCCGCTCGGATCCCCGAGAACCGCATCCGGAGCACGCGCTCGGCCGAGAACCTCCCCGAGTGCGGGATCACGCACGAGCAGAGGACCAGCAGCTTCACCACTGTCCCCAACTACGACAACGACGACGAGGCTTGGTCCGTGGACGATATCGTGGAGCTGCAGGTGGAGGTGAGGCCGGGGCTGCCAGGCAGGGCTTGTCCCTTGCTGGCGCTGCGAGACGCTGCCGGGATCCGGCGCAGCAGCATCGCAGGTCGGGATAGGCCCTTCCGGGCGGCACTGCCGTCCCAGCTCCTGCCTGGGATAAGGGATGGGTGGGAATCGCGTTTTGGTAACCGCCACCTCTCGCACCTTTCCCCTCCCAGCTGCCGGAGATTCACACCAACAGCTGTGACAACATCTCCCAGTTCTCTGTGGACAGTATCACCAGCCAGGAGAGCCGCGAGCCCGTGTTCATCGCTGCTGGAGATATCAGGTGAGGCTGGCGTGGCGTGGCGAGAGCAGCCCAGGCAGTGGCTTTCTTGGGGTGGGTTATGCGTTCGGATGCAAAAAGGCGGGGTGCGAAATTTCTCTGCTAGATTCCCAGAGAAAAAACCACCTGCATGGATTACGAGGGGCTGTGCAAACGCTGGGCAGCGGAGGTTTATGAGAGCCCTGAATAGAGGCGCGTAAGAGACGCTCCGGGCCGGTACAGCCTCCCCTGCTCAGCCGCTGGCACCTTTCCCGCGGGGTTCGGGGTGAATCCCTGAGCTTTGTAAAGCGCTTGGGATCGAAGAGGCTCCGGGCGCGCCTGCTGCTGCTACTTTCTGCCCCAACAACGGGTTTCGCTGCTTATCGGCTCCGTCCCGCAGGCGGCGG